TACACCCTCGGCTATATTAAATACTTTCAGTTGGTTCCAATATCTTACATTCTCACCTATATTAAATACTTTCAGTTGGTTCCAATATCTTACATTCTCACCTATATTAAATACTTTCAGTTGGTTCCAATATTTTACATTCTCACCTATATTAAATACTTTTAATTAGTTATGAAATCTTCCTACATTTTCGGCTATTTATTAAATAACTTCAGTTGGTCCCAATATCTTATATTTTCTAATATCATTAAAAGCCGAAATTGGATTCGTTTAATCTATAGAAAACATAAATAAAAAGATGAATCTTGTTCACCTTCAGAATATCTTAGTGGGTGCAAAAACAGAGCATGATAGAGCATTTTAACTTGTAAACGTGCGTTTTTAATCATACGTCAACCAACCAATTCATCTAACAACTTACATCGAATGTCTTTGCACTAGTGTCATCTATCGCCAAGAAGTGAAAACTAATTAAAGTCTATTATACTTTACTTGATAAAAACGAACTGCACGTTTCTTCAAATAACCACTTCTCACATGATTTAAATATAGTATATTGTTCAGTTAATACTGTTACAAAAAACAATTATTGTATACTGTTTAGTAATAGTGTTACAAAAACATTTGAAGTGTATTGTTCAGTTAATACTGTTACAAAAACAATTATTGTATATTGTTTAGTAATAGTGTTACAAAAACATTTGTAGTATATTGTTCAGTTAATACTGTTACAAAAACAATTATTGTATATTGTTTAGTAATAGTGTTACAAAAGCATTTTAAGTATATTGTTCAGTTAATACTGTTACAAAAACAATTATTGTATATTGTTTAGTAATAGTGCTACAAAAACATTTGTAGTATGTTGTTCAGTTAATACTGTTACAAAAGCAATTATAGTATATTGTTCAGTTAATACTGTTACAAGGTTTGTTTGTTTGTTTATTTGTTGTGGAGAATAAGCTACATTCGGCTATCTGTTGCGTCCAATACATGGAATCGAATCCCGGTTTTCAGCGTTGTACGTCCGTAAACCTACTGTTGTCCCACCGGAGGGCCAACATTAAAAGAAGAAGAACAAAAATCAGTAACTTTGATCGCGTCATCTAGTCGTTTGTTGTTGTTTTTCAAAACTGTAATTTTATTCTTTTGAGTGGATAATTGGTTGTTTAACGTTTAAAAATAAATTTTCTTTTAGGTAATTGATTTTATATAATGACACACACAACTAATACAACGTCAACATTGTATCATAGAAGCACAAGCGATGTATCATTCATACTGTGTCACCGTAACCCTACTGATGCGTCACTATCATTATATCACGAAAATATAACCGATGCGTCACTAGCATTGCGTCATAGGTTTGTTTTGAATTTTGCACAAAGATACACGAGGGCTATCTGCGCTAGCCGTCCCTAATTTAGCAGTGTAAGACTAGAGGGAAGGCAGCTAGTCATCACCACCCACCGCCAATTCTTGGGCTACTCTTTTACTAACAACCGTCATATTATAACGCCCCCACGGCTGAAAGGGCGAGCATGTTTGGTGGGACGGGGATTCGAACCCGCGACCCGCAGATTACGAGTCGAGCGCCCTAACCACCTGGCCATGCCAGGCCCGTGTCAAAGGAACACACGGAGTGTGTCACTATGATTGTGTCACAAGATCACTACCGACCCGTCACTAACATTGAGTCACAAGAACACACCAGATGCATCATTAACATTGTGTCACAGAAACAAACCCCGATGCTTCACTAACATTGTGTCACAAGATCACTACCGACCCGTCACTAACATTGTGTCACAGAAACAAACCCCGAGGCTTCACTAATATTGTGTCACAGGATCACTACTGACATTGTGTCACAGCTGATCTCTTTATATTGTAGACCATGATAACTTTTATTTAGGTTAAAAATTCTTCTCTCTTACGTAGAATGTTTTTTAAATTCACAGTAAAATTTCCATTTCTCTAAAATAAAATTTAGTCCAAGCTCTATGGTATTAGATATATGACATTTCGGGATTATTTTTTTTCTGTATTATACGTCAAACTTTCGAAACTATCTTTGGAGGTAAAGGAGGTTTAGCTCATTTTTATTAGTATGGAAATAATTGTTAGGCTTTGTAAGTTCATGTAAATGTTGTAATGAGTACATTAAAACAGTGGGTGGATTTTCCCATACATTTATTACACCTTGTGATCGAAAATTAGCCAGTGCGTATTTCTATCACACATATCATAGACTTCCATAAGTTTGATATCATCAATATATTTGTTTGCGTTTGAAACATTGATTGCACATGCGCAGTAACTTGGATATTGTGCTTTCCAAGACATCAGATTGTAGAGTACAGATTTACCTTTTTTTTTCGTACCATCCGTTTTCTCGAGCTTACTGTTAAATATTGTTATTAATAATACATATATGGAAGCAGATGTATATCAAATAAAACAGCCCTAGCGGCATTTTTCGGTCACTTACACATACTTCTTACACCACAGTGAGTAAACAGCATCCCTGTGACACAATTTCGTGACGCATCGGTTATGTTCCCGTGACACAATTTTTGTGACACATCACTTGTGTGCTATTTTATAAAATTTATTACGTAAATAAAAATTTATTTTGAAATGTTGAAAATTCAACCGTGCGCTCGAGAAAAAAAGACAAATTCAAAAAATGTATTTTATTTACATTTACTAGATGGCGCCACCAAAGTTTCTGATTTATATTGTTGTTTTTCCTTCGGCGATGTGAAAACCAATATAAAACTTTTCACATTTAGAATGACTTTTACTAATATATTTTAAGAAACTGGAACAACAATAAGCAATATAAAGTCTTGTTAAAAAAAAAATTAGAGACATGATTTCCTTAGATCTGATTATAAGGAATTAGCATATATACACACAAGTGTATTAGTTTTCAGTAAATATCATTAATATATTGGTATCTTTCTTTAAGTAGATGTCTTTGAAACAGCGTCACGAGCCTAAGACATTGAAGAACACACACATTAAAAAAATAATGTTATATTCACGAGACCAGGAGTCAGAAAGAAACAATCTGTACATGGAATTCAATTATAGGATAATGTTTTTACAAACATGTTCATGTTCTGTTTTTCAGTAATATATTACTGACCACGGTCCAACTAATATCTTCAAATATATTGCACAGGAAAAATGCAATCATTCGGTGCCTCAGCTTAGATCCGGCCATAATCGAGAAGTTAGCGTTTTTAGACTGTAAATCCCAAGATTCCTGGTTCATGTCCTTTGCCGCAAAAAACGAGGCTCCGCATTTTGGGGTCGTTTGTGGGCTGTAAGAGTAGCTGTCAAATCCTACTAATCGGTCAGACAAGAGTAGACCAAGAACTAACGATGAGTGCTATTGACTAGTTGCCTTTCCTTTGGTTTGTCAGTTCAAAATGAGGAATTACTACGAGCAGGTCTTGTGTAATTTAGCACGAAAATTCTAAAGTAAAAAAACAAATTGCTCCAGCTTCTCCGTACGATGAGATAATTCTTGAAAAATCCGTTAAAAATGTTCGATATTATCAATAGCATTTAATTTCTTAACACCTCTAGAATTTCTTTGTTTTTTCACCTGAAAATTACTGTTTTTATCAGAACGGCTTTCAGTTTTATGATTAACAATATTTTGTATTCACTGACCAAAAATTGCACTTTTTATGATTTCACGAAGATCGAGTAAGCATATGTTATAATGTGTATGTTATACCTCTGTTATTTTCTTAGTGTAAAGCTATACAATGAGCTATCTACAATATGCCCACAACTGGGAATCGAATCCCAAATTTTTGCATTGTAAGTTCGTAGACTTACCTCTCACCTACCTCTCACTGTAAAGAAATGTCAAAAATCTATTGAAGGAATGTAGAATGTTTTTTGTTTTTTTTTTGGTTTTTTCTTGCTACTGCTGTTGTTATTTCCATGAAATTAGTTAAAATATACCAAACATTATACATATCTCTAGGCTTACAAATTTTTAACGAATATGGTCAATTGTTACTGCAAAAAAAATAACGTTTTTTATTATTATGAGAAATGAATATCTAATTTTCAAAAGGCTTAAATTAGCCTTAGAAAAGTAAAACGACAAGAAATCAGTTTACTTGTTTCATTTTAGCTCAGAGCCTCATAATGAGTTATCTCTGCTCTGTACGCTCCCCAGTGGCACAGAGGTATGTCTGCGGACTTGCAGCGCTAGAAACCAGGTTTCGATACCCGTGGTGAGCAGAGCACAGATATCCCATGGTGCAGCTTTCTGCTTAACTTCAAACAAACAAACCGCTCTATTCATCGGATTTTGGTATTGTAAGTACAATCGACAACAAGTCAAGACCATGACGAGATTTTTTGACAAAGAAAGAGGCTTTTTAAAAAAAAATTAATTTGCTTATTTGATTTACTTATTAGAATACTTAATTTTGAAGAAATCGAAGAAATTACGATGAATTGTGAATAAAATTCGACAAGTGTATGGCTTTCCCTATCCCGAAGAAAAAGTAAATGCTAAATTTAATTGAGTGATCGTTGTAAAGACTGTTTAACGAGGGGAGGGGAGATAAAATACTTAAATAACGCTTGACACTAAGCAGTTAACAATATAGCCAGTACTTGTGATATTTAAGGAAAAGTGTAGTCATATTATTATCTCAAGGTGATTTGTAAACATCTAAACAACCTTATCACAGTAACTACAAATTATAATTGTGTTCTGCCGCGACTGTAGCGTCCTCACTATTGGACGTTTTACTTACAATGAAATAGAGAACCATCTGTACAAGTTTAAGAGTTACGTAAACTATACGTTCAGTTGTTTTCGTTGCGTTTTGATGATTAAGCAAAACCCAGAGACTTGAACTTCGAAAAGCATAAGTATTTTATTAGAGCCATGAACCTTACATTTCTGAATTTGAAATATTACTAAACTAAAAAGCAACAGATGGTTGTTGATATATTTCTTGTATGTAGAGTAATTTTAATTAAAAATATGTCTGTCGATTCAAAGTAATATTGGCGACAAGTTATAAAAACTTGTAATACGAACTTTTTATTTATTTGTAATGCGATTTTTTTATTATTTTTTTACGTGTACACGAAAGGTTATTGACGAAAATTTGAGTTAAAAAATGATTTCGCGTTTATTCAGAGCTGTGATTATGGGTCCCCCTGGTTCTGGTAAAGGGACAATCTCTTCGCGTATACTGCGCGATTTTGCTTTTAAACATCTTTCCAGTGGTGACTTGCTTAGAGCACAGATTCGGGATGGAACAAGTAAGATTAAAGTCTTTTATAACAAACAAACTATGCTTTTATTAATCCGGGTAACTTAAGATTAACAGTGTGTTTTAAATACAGGTATTACTATTAGCTATGTTAAAACGTCTTGAAATACGTATAATTATATGTAACTATTCAGTAGAACGTTGATGAAAACTTCCATATGGATGAACTGATGTACTACACAACCATTTTCTAATTAAAAATCTATATAAAATCTTCCAAGTAAATCAGCATAAGAACTTTATCTACTAACTAATATTTATATATATATATATATATTTAAGTGTTGTTTAACATTAAATTATAAGTTGCGTTAGTAGTTTGGAAACGTGGGTTGATGGAGTTAGAAGTGGAAGTTTCCCACATAAAATTTGTGTAATATTTATTGTACTCTAATACATATGAATTAGATAAATATGTAAAACTAAAAATTTTACTCTTTTGGTGTTTCAGCGATATTCTAAAATGTATAGCAGTTGTTTGTACTGATGTTTAGAAATACAGAACATTATATATGTTCTCAAGTGTGTTTACTTATGTTTTAATTTAAGTCACATATTTTGTCATACAAATGGCAAAACAGTTGCAGTGGTAATAAGAGGTAGTGTAAATCTTGCTATAATTTTAAATTAAAAGTTGGGGACAATTGCAAGGCTTGAACTGACTTGTTAACTGAAAAACTGCATTTTCTAAGCAAATGCTAATAAGATCAGTTATCTCTTGCTTATTTCTTAATATCTGTAAGTGAAAAAATAGATTTAGAATTGAAACCCTACACATATATATGTTTCAATGCAGTTATAGGTAATGAAGAAAAATTGTATAATAGGAAATTAGTTGACTTATCTAAAATATAGACATAACCCCCCCTTCCATAAATTCAGCTAACTCAGTCACGAAAAAAAAAGAGCATGCACC